AAATATTATATTTGATTTGATTTGATTTGATCAAATTCAAATATTTTTGATATTTGATTTGAAAAAATCAAATCAAAATCAAATATATTAAGTATTTGATTTGATTTGATTTTGCAGAACCCTAACGACAACGCTACTGAGGTTACATTAAAGTTAAAAAAAAAATAATTAGTTATATACTGTAAAAAATAATTATTGATGATCAGTTGCATATATCCCCATGATTAAGGGTGCACTATGTTTGTATTCTGAGCATTCTAACATTTCACCAAAGTTCACTATTTCACCAAAATTTCAACATTTTGCCAAGAGGTGTTTTTTTGGACTTAGGTTTCATCTTTCGCCATTTGGAAATAGGTTTTGCTTTGCACTAGCCATTATACAATTGCCACATATTTCTCAAATAATGCCTTTTCTTTTAAATAGACTTATTAGAAATAAATAAGATTATTTGCAAATTTATGCTAGTATTTATTTTATTAATGAGTTAGAAAAGGTGTAATTTTATTAAAGTTATTGACGTTCAAAAATAATACATTACAATAGAATATAAAATATTCATAAACAGCAAACATGATCAATGTATGACAATCCTACTTATAGCTTTAAATAAAACATTTGAAAGTTGGCAAATAAATTAATATTTTATCTAATTTAAACTCACTCATATTAGAAATTTAATAAATTACTAAACTATAAATAATATATGATAGATATATATTAATTATAAATATTTTGAGATTTAGAGTTAATTGCTAAGCGGAAGCAAAGTTTTAAGAATCTTATTTATTCAAGATGTCTGCGTTATCCTAAAATTAGGAAGATGCTAAACTATGTCTGGTAAACTGTACACATGAAACAGGTATGCCTGAAGATAATAAAGTATATCTTAGAATATGATAATTCTGAACATCTTCAGGTACATGGATATTGATGTCATGATCGCAACTATCATATCCAGAACAATCAGGAAGCTCATGTATATTGGAGGAATGGGTACCTATTAATTGACTAATGAATTCGACTTGAACCATAGTATTGGAGGTAAATAATTTGATATCTGGGTCATTTAGGTCTGTTATTTTTCCATGAACGGTTAAAGTCATTTTACCCCCGGGAGCTGGAATAGGATCAGGTGTAAAATCTGCAGTAAGGGTAGGAGTATATGGATCACACGCTTCAAACCCATTATTAGCCTTAACTATTAAAAACATTGCTAATAGTAATATGAATATAAAAGAAAAGTTTTTATTCATCATTTTTTAATCGAATAGTAAATAATTAATTTTATATTTGATTTGTTAATGTAATTATCGATAGTTTGGTTTCTTAGCCATCTATTTATATATAAAAAAATCATTAATATTTCTGCGCCCCAAAAAATGATTCTTTTTTTAAATAATAATAATAATAATAATAATAATAATAATAATAATAATAATAATATTATTATTATTATTATTATTATTATTATTAAAATTTAGGTAGGATTAGCTGATTGGCTAGTTATGGGAAATGCATCCCATGTGGGATTTTTGGGAGTCTGCGATTTGCCCATCACTATGATTGACAGTTAAATATTAGGGATAGAGTCGTGATATGATGAATAATGTATTCAAATATTTAGTGGATATGTGATAGATCGAACTGAATGTTCAGATTAGGGTTGCGAGACAAACTCTTTTTTAGTAACGGCTTTTCTACTTAGTTTGGGTATGGAAATCGGTATTTCTACCTAGTTTGGGTTTATAACCAAAACCCAAATATGTATTCCATTTCAATAAATAGTGTCAACTCAAAAACTATAAATTATTGAATAAATATTCAGGATTTAATATTATACGATAGGAATTTGAAATCTGTTTTGAGCTGTATTGATCTCTAAACCTAAAAGATGTGGGATAATCAAAATTGTGATTACAGTATGAATAAAAATAGTATGGTAAATGGCGTAGAATACCAATTTAAAAAACTATATATACCATACTAATCACCGATCATTATTATTTGTGACCCATAACATACGAATTTGATCACCCACACCACACCATTACAATAATTCGGCACATTAGCCATTCTTTATTAAGAGTTTAAAATAAGTGAACGGAATTGACAAGCCTTAAAAAAAGGAGAGAGATCAACATATGAATAGATTACTGAACCTAAAATTGGCTAATCTAATCTGTTAAAGTGAAAGACAGAACATTAAAACCTTTATTAATTAAAGGATAACTTATATTAATATTTCTGTATATCTTAAATTTTGCTAATAATCCAGCAATCCAATAGTTAGTTATTATTATTGTTTATTGCTGGCCTGACGCTGATGCATTCCGATTCTAAACTTTGGTCGATCTGCTAAATTTGGTTGCGCAACTGTAAATTGCTTGGTTCTTCCGAAAGGTGAATTAAGATCACATATGTAAGAATAACTACAGAACTAACAACAGTATTGATAGATAAATGTTGAATGAACGATATAATATGTATAGTATGATATAAGATTACTAATTAGAAATAAAAAACAAAATAAATGAAAAAAAAGTAACACCGAGATAAAAAAAAAAAGATAGGTTAAATTTATAAACCCA